CTACTTTTGAAGCTATATTGTTTGTAGTTTTGTTGTCAACGAATGTTCTGTGAATTGCCTAGCTTCTTTTAGAGTCTTATTTATCAGTTTATGTATTCTAGCTATTTTGTTTATCGTTTTTACTTTTTAGTTTGTACTGTTATTAATGTAAGTTAAGATCCATATGAGGTTGAACTATCATCCTTTTTGTTTGTTTGATGAGAATTAGGGTATTGTAATTTCTTTGATTTTGATCGATAGAATTGGTTCCATGCTATCTGAAACTGATTGCCAATATTAGGAACAGTTGGGATGAATCAGTTATTTTGTAAAGTACGCAAGGGGAAGAGGATCTGAAATTTGGACTGCGAGCTATTACTAGTTTACCACCAAGAGGATAGTGTCTGAACTTTTTCTATGTGTTTTTAATATGCTTGAACAAAATCCCTTGGTCAATTTAATTAGAAAATACGAGCAAATTATAATGTGTGTGATAGGCTGATAGCAGATTAATGGAGTTATTTCAAACCCTCGGCACCTAAAGCCTCTAGGGTTTTTAAGAAGGGTATCCTCTTCCAGACCATCTAATACTTACTTTTCATGATCATTCACATTGTTGTGTCTGTAACATCCAAAAATGTTACTTTGTAAATGCTAGGGTCTAGGGGATCTCAGATTATGAATGTAATCAGGGGATAATCATTTGATGGCTTTACTCACATGTTGTCACTTATCGATGCATTCTTTGTGCAGCTATTCCAGATTGCAGAATAATGGTGGTACGAAGATTTTGATATGGCAAAAAACCTTCCACCGAGTCCACATTTACCAAGGGAAAGAATTTTAAGGCATGTAAGATTCCCGATGAACATTGGAATCCCACCTGAGAAATTGTTGATCGGAAGGATGTGTGAATAGTTGTATTCATTTATGAATAGCACATGCATTTATTTATGATAGAATGTGTATTAATTTATAAATAACGGTGTATTCATTTATGAATTGCAATGTATTCATGTGTGAATGATTGTATTTATTTATGAATATTAGTGTATTCATGTGAATGAGTGTATTTATTTATGATTAGAGGTATTCATTTTATGAAAAATTGATAATTTTTACACTTTTATTTTCAATTTATGAAAAATAAATTGAATTATTTGTAATTTGATATGTTTTCATTTATGATTGGAAGTGTATTGATTTGAGATTGGATTTCTATTTTTTTTTTTTTTTTTTTTTAAAAAAAAAAAAAAAAAAAAAAAAAAAAAAAAAAACAAACAAACAAAAACGTGAAATAGTAGAAAATAATATATTTTTTTAAGATTTTCTTTTCAGATTTAAAATAAAATGAAATATTAATTTTTTTTAGGTAATTTTTTTTAAACGGTCATAAATAATTTTTGGGAAAAATCATAAAAAAATATTTATATATATTTTATTAACTAAAAGGAAATATTAATTTTGTTAGGTAATTAAAATTATTATCCCTAGATTTTAGGAAATCATTAATTAATATTTATATAAAGTTACTAATATACCCTTATAAAATGATTGATCCATAACTGTTCTCGCGTTCTCAACCTTTTAGGTGTTCTCATTTGATCCTCTCCCTATATATATATATATATATATATATATATATATATATATATATATATATATATATATATATATATATATATATATATATATATATATATATATATATATTACCAAAATGATTTTTAGGGCCCAAAGTTGGTTCAAACTCAAACTAACTCAAAAGATAAACAATATGGCTTGCTTCTTATTGTTAATTAAATGTGTTTATAGTCAATAAATAAATGATTTTTTTTTAATCTTTGTTATATTTATCTTTAAGGGGTCTTTTTTTTCTTTTCGCCCCGGGACCCATATACATTTGGACCGACCCTGTTAAAATGATAAATTTGTTTATATATTTGTTGAAGTAAATGTCATCTTATTTAACTAATAAATAATTTTGGTAAATCTGTTTACTAAATTTTTAAATAATAAAAATTTTCAAACCCAGAAAATAACCAACTATTATATATTCTTTATAATAACTTGTTTTTCACATTAGATTATCAAAGTGTACAAAATCATCATCATCATCATCATATGATAATATTCCAAAAGAACATCAAATACTCCTTAAAATTTGTTATGACCGACATATTTTGTTTATTAGAGTTGCTAGGTTTAGATTATATAAAAGGGATTATTAAAAATAGGATGCTAACATTATAAAAGGCGAAAGAACAACTGAAATGCCCCCATGCAGGATCGAACTACAGACCTCCAGTTTACAAGACTGGCGCTCTACCACTGAGCTATAGGGGCTTACTTGATCCACAAAGTCTTGCAGATTATCCATAATAAGTATTAAGTTTCACTAATCAAAGTACATTGCTTTATGCTTAACTAATCAAGAAAGATTGTCTTATATCTTCACTAATCTATAAAGATTCTGTTATATAAGTTTGGTGATCATCAAAGAATGTTTCATGGGTTCCTTGTTTTTGAGATGAATTTATCAAAAGTGTCCATCTTTATATACTACAAACTATATATAACTATGACCCAAAACGAAATATATCACTCTACAATATAATATACCTGAACCATAATCAAGTAAACCACTTACATATATAAACAACAAAGAATATATCCATTCATTGATCATTCATAAATCGGCTTAAAATTCTTGTAAGCTATAACAGCATAAAAAGGATCTGAACCAGACAACAATCCAAATACCCCTTTAATCCAATCAAAACCCGAACTAATATCCGGTTTTTTCCCATCAGGTAGTTTCCTCACCACTTCCGGTTCAGTGAACCCTTCAACACACTGAAAGTACTGAACCACCAACTGCACCCTACCGAACCCGGTTCCTTCTCTCCATGCACCAATCGCCTTTTCATAGAACATCCGGTTGCTAAAGCTCACAATAAACACACCACCGGGCCTCAATAACCGGAACACCTCCGCAAAAACCTTCTCCGGCTGTTCAAGATACTGAACACTAACTGTGCATAACACAGCATCAAAACTACCACTTTCGAATTCGAATTTCTGATCTTGGTTTAGATCTTTAACAACGAAGTAATCGAGTCTCGGGTTCTTGGCTAGCTCCTGTGGGTTAAGTCCATGTCCGATGACTCTCTTGTACTTGACATTTTCAGGAAGATGACTAACCCATGAGCTCATGAGGTCAAGAATTTCGAAATCTGGGCTCAATCTATCTCTGTAAAGATTGGTTAGTGTTGTGATGAAGTTGTTATCGACATGGGTGACGAATCTTGGGTAGGTGTAGAAGTTTCTGTCTGGAGTAATGTCGAATTTGGTTCTGCCTTGTTTTGTGAGAACTGTACGTTTGATTTTTCCTGCCGATGAGGTTGAAGATTGTGGGGGTTTTGGTTCGATTTGGTTTTGGGTGTTGAAGAAGATTGCTGTGGGTTTGGGATTAGGGTTCCATTTGAAGGGCTTGAGAGTTGGTTGAAAGGTATTCATGTTCGTGAGGAAAGCTTATTTCTTGTTCAGAAGCTTTGTTGTGTTGTGTCCATTGAAAAAGAGAATAAGAGATGGATAAGTTGATGTATTTTATTTTTTATTTTTTTATTAAACAAATATTTTTAGTGGTGGAAATGACAAATGGGCCTATGGGCATGAATTAGTATGTGATTTATTTTAAATGGGCTTAAATGGGTTGCATTTTTTAATAGTCCGTTGTCCATACTCCGTAATGAATACAATTATAATCGGTATGATTTTTTTGATTTTTTGAAAGTCGAATGGTGTTAAAAAAATCATTTTTTTGGATAAGAAGTCGATTTGGTTCGATTTTTTTAGAAAAATCAGGAAATAAATTGGTTGTAAATATTTATAAACACCAATTAATAACCGGCAATTCAATTTTAACCTAACATGTTTTGGAAATACCGGTTCAGTTTTTTTTTTTCTCAGGATTAAAAAACAGTTTGAAATATACACCTCTACTCTATATTTTTTTTCTTTTATTATTTTTTTTATAGTTTAATTTTATACTATATTAGAGATGCACAAAGTAAACCAGTTTTTCCTTAACCAGCTCAACTAAAACCGATTATCGGTTGGATATAAGCTTTTATAAATAACTAAAACCATTATTTTTCCTAGGTTTTTTTACTGTTTTCTCCACTATAACCGAACAATTTTTTAATTGTAAAAAGATTTTTTAAAGCAATTTCACTTACGAAAAAACCAAATTGATTATAACGAAACTAGTATGAAGAAATATGGTTTAAAAAACAGTTCCAAACCAGTATATGTGCACATCTACTCCGTATTATATATTTATTTTAATTTGCTTTTGGTATCTACGAAAATTAAAGGGAAATTAAAGGAACGTATGCCTACAATGAGTCAATGATATAAAAGTTGTAAAATTATATGGTGGTCTTCAAAACAATAAGGAGATATCTTTATCGTTTATTACTCATGGGGTTAACAGATTTTAAATTTTGTACATATCTTATCAGTGAAGTTTTTTGTATATGATTTGACAGTAATTTTTTTAATTTGATTTAAGGTCGTTTGGTAGTGGCTAACTGGCTTAGAGCTGACTATGTTAGAAGCTGACCGAGTTAGAAGTTCTGACTGAAACTTGTTGTTTGATTTTACATCTGACTAACTATGCAAAATGACTATATTACCCTCAAACAACATTTTTTATAATAATTCATTTACCATTTAATTTATACATTGCAGTTTTACTTAACACATAAATATATAAAAAACAACATCAATATCCAAACACCATGTGAATTCATGGCCAAATTGGACAATTGCTAACCATTCAAGCAACCAATAAAAAAAATGACAATTGCTTTGGGTATTTGGATACAAATTCATGAATACTTTCAAGGACAACTTGGACAATTGCTAATCATTCAAAGAGCGAATTAATTTTTACAATTACCACTTAGCATTTTGACAAATGCAAAACATAACAATGTATTTTCTTTCATATACATGTCCTTAAATCTAATCCTTGTCACAAAAAGTTATTCCAATCCCCCAAAAAGCAATGCAAATTGTGATAAGCGATAATAAGCACCAAATCTCAAGTACAAATACAAATACAAATAAACAATGTCATGGGGCAATCACATAAGACATGAACTAGATGAAATTGTTCTTCCATCTTCTCATTGATTTCCAGCTCTTAATGCAAGAACTAGACGAAAGTGTTGATTCTTTCTGGATGCTGTAATCAGTAAGTGTTCTTCCATCTTCTAATTCCTTTCCAGCAAAAATCACTATGTGTTGATCTCGAGGTATCCCTTCTTTGTCCTTTAAAATTCAATTACTAATTAATCCAAAAAACTAGAATAGGAGATCAAATCACATATATACAAAAGAGAAAGATGAACCATAGTCCACATAGCAAATAGATTCAGAACATCAAGTTCAATACAAATATCACACAATTACTCTCTGTTTATAACATGATTTACAAGAAAATATATATCAATGATTATGAGCAAAAACAATGATTTAACAACTCAACAATCGAAAACGTTTGAAATTAGGAACCAAATAAGAAAACACATATATCTCAAATCAAATTATCGAACAACAACATAGAAAAGCATAAAAAATCGACACTCAATAGCCATTTTTCACCTGATTCATTGAGAAAGAAGAAGAAAAAAATGTACCTAATAAGAAGAAGAAAGTGAAAATTGCAGGAAAAAAAAAAAACATTCTCCAAGCAGAAACTACAGAACTGACAAAACCTCTACCAAAATCAATCTTTGTTCCTCTTTCTCTGGAATGATCGGTGGATCTGATTTTCCAGTGTCTAATAGCAGAGGTTGAAGGAGAAGAAGGATGACAAAGAGCTAAACTAAACACAATTGCTACCTTCACTTGACCTCTATTCAGAATCGAATGATTTGCGCAAATTGTGAAATGAAGAATTGTGTGATCGATTGAAGGAGATGAGGGTACGACGTGTCATTTGGGGCCGACTGAAAGCCAAAACTCAGTCAGGAGGTTTTGAGATGAGCACCGAATCCTCAATTTTTTTTGGACCGAGTCCCTTCTTTGGACCAAGTCCGACGGTGAACAGCTCAAATCAAAACACACCAACTTCTGACTGAGGATCGAGTTCCTCCTTTTGACTGGGTTAGCATCAATATCAAACAACCCTTAAGTCTGAGTCAAAGTCTAACAGAGTAAAAGACATTTCAGAGGAATCAAGACTTCTAATTATAATATCAAACAGTCTGAAACATCTTACTAGACAAAATAAGATGCATGTGAAATAACCCTAGTAGTATATGATATGGCTGGCAAGAATAATTCAAAACATGGCAGTAATTTTGATGTGGAATTTTATTAAAAAGAAAGTTAAGTCAAAGTAGGCCGTTAGTTATAAAGCTTGGACCGTCTACCCTTTACGTGGGCTGCAAACGGGTTCCTGGTTGAAACTTGAAAGTTAAAAGGATTCATAAAATTTGGATGTCACGCTTTATAAAATTTGGGTTCTATTTGGACGTTGATCCGCAAATTCTTAATCATTATACTTTTTTTCATGGTTAAAAAAGGATATATTAGTATATTACATCTTGGAAACCAAGTAAGCAGTTCAAACCGGTTATGGATTTGAAATCACGGTCTAGAACGGTCGGGACGGATTTCATTTCAGGTCTTTCCTTTTTATCATTTATCTTTAGAAAATGCAATATTTTTTTAAAGACAATTAGAATAATAATAATAATAATAAAAGAATTAGATTAATAAGGGGGGAGTATTAGATTAAGGATTCTAAACTTGATCTTATCAAAAAGGGTATCTGCCAAGTCAAGTTTTCTTCCGCAAACCATAAAAGCAAAACCCCAACACAAACAACACAAGAAACCAATCAATCAATCAATTCACTTTTGTTCCTCATATTCATCGTCATCAAATTAGGTTTCAACAATGTCCTACGATTACCTTTTCAAATACATAATCATCGGTGATACAGGTATTCTTTTCTCCAATTGTATCTTTGATCATTGATCATGTAAACCCTAAACAGTTCAATTTCAGAAAACCTAATTCAACTTAGTATAACGAATTTTGGTGTTTGTTCACTCTCAGGTGTAGGGAAATCGTGTTTGTTGCTGCAATTCACCGACAAGAGGTTTCAACCAGTTCATGACTTGACTATTGGAGTGGAATTCGGTGCTCGTATGGTCGCCATTGATGGCAGGCCTGTTAAGCTTCAGATTTGGGATACCGTATGTGTTTTTTCTAATTTCCTGATTCTTCAATTGATTCTGCTGCTAGGTTTCTAGTTTTTTCTGCGTAAATTCTTGATGATCATAGTAAGGATTCATGAATTAATGGTGAATGATTCAGGCTGGCCAAGAATCATTCAGATCGATCACCAGGTCATATTACAGAGGAGCAGCTGGAGCTCTTCTGGTTTATGACATCACTAGGTATGTGTATCTATCATATCATATCATATCATATCATATGTAACGATTTTATTGCATACACAAGTTGTATTCATCATTGATGATCTATTTTTGTTTATTCAAATCCAGGAGAGAAACATTCAATCATCTAGCTGGATGGCTTGAAGATGCAAGACAACATGCCAATCCCAACATGACAATCATGCTTGTAGGAAACAAAAGCGATCTTTCCCACAGAAGAGCTGTCAGCAAAGAGGAAGGAGAACAGTTTGCAAAAGAAAACGGACTCTTGTTCTTAGAAGCATCTGCAAGAACAGCACAGAATGTTGAAGAGGTACACCCTGTTTCTGTTTCAATCTTTTAAAAACTTGAAATGGATTTTCTAATTGGTTTTGTTTGATTTGCAGGCGTTTCTTAAGACTGCAGAAAAGATACTTCAGAAGATCCAGGAGGGTGTGTTTGATGTATCAAATGAGGTAATTAATTGGATTTAAATTCAGGATTTATAAACTTATGATTTATAAATGGTAAATTGTTGATTTGTAGTCATCGGGGATAAAGGTGGGATATGGACGTCCTCAAGGTACAGGAGCAAGAGATGGAACAGTTGCTCAGAGTGGTGGATGTTGTGGTTGATCTTGATTCTTGTAGAAGCATATATTATTATTATTATTATTATTATTATTATTTTTTAATATTGGAACATAATATGTAATGTATAAATATAAGTGGATTTTGGTCTTTTGAACCAATTTGATCATTATCTATTAGTTATGTAACTTGAAAATTGTTATGGAGGGGTATTATATAAATAAGAATACTTAATTAAATGCACTTAAAGTGAAACAAGTAAGTAAATTTAGACTACACTTTTTGGGCATTTTGGCTCACGGATTTCAAAGAAACTGAGATGTAAATTCCAGTAAAAAAATTATATTTGGCTGATAAAATCAAAGAAATTAGAATTCATCAAATTTTATTAAATTTTTTGCTTAAAGTAATTGATAAATTTTTTGCTTAAAAAAATTATGTGTGGCTGATAAAATCAAAGAAATTAGAATTCATTAAATTTTTTGCTTAAAGGAATTGATAATTTTTTTGGATAAAAACAAGGTTGTCAAGATCGAGATCGTAAGATTCTGTCAAAATGAACTTATATTGAAATTTGATTGTACTGTATTAAGTGTGAAATATATGTATTATAGTTTGATGTTTATTAAGGTCTCGAAAATGAGTTAACTTTAACTTCTTAAACATAAGTCATAATTTTTGTTATTGCAAACTATAAACATTAGAAAATAAACATCTTAATTGCAAAAGGAAATAAGATCATTATGATCATGTACAACTAAAAGCTTAAGAACACAAAAGGAGTATCATGAGTATGAGTGCCTAATTTGAAATGAATTGACAAAACTCTGAGCGTACAACCTCAAGTTGAATAGATAATTTTGAAGCTCAACTATATAATAAAACTAAAAATGCATGATCATAAGAATATCTTATGATCCTAACCAAGATCTTAAGATCTCACTATAGTTCTTGTTTAATATAGATCCTAGTGATATTGAGATCGTATTTAGCTTATTAGATTTTAAAATCATAAAATCTTTAAGATCAAGATGGGGATCTTAACAACAACGGATAAGAACATACTTTTTATTCCTTATGTTTAATTAAAAAGACAATAACACCCTCCACACACCAAGCATGTTCCATTCCACATACCAAACGTATTACAATTCGAAATCCTTTGACAAATTTCATTCTTGCGAAAAAAAACATTATGCAAACCAAACACGATCCGACTTGCTCTAATTCCATGCTTATCTATGGTTCGATCTTACCTTTTTACGCAACAAACAATGATTTTTATTATTATCCCTCTCTTTGACGGCTTAACAAATCCATAAAAGAACTACTATTACTATTTCTCGCATCACATGACACTCTACCATGCAAATCAGGCTAAGTGGCCCATTTATTGGCAGCGTGGAAAGTTGATTTAAAGGAGCAAAAAAATTGAAACTTCAACTATAATCAAAACTTGTGCTGCTTGGTGTACAACAACTACCAAAAAGAAAATATTAGAAAAGGAAATAAAAATGGTAGATGAGATGCTGTGATCATCTTCTGTCTCCAAATTGTCCTCCAGGGTTCCTTCCAAATCTTACCCGCAAATTGTCAACAGTACGAGACACCAACACCAATCTTGGATCATCCGCGGGTATCTCCCGATCCTAAAAATATACATGTTGGATATTTTTTCATCTTAAAAACTTACATACAACAATTCAAATATAGTTTATTAGTTAGATAACAAATACTAATTATTATAATTATTACAGCATCCATGTTGTGGGTAAACTTCTTGTCCAGTTTTTTATTTTCCACCAACTTTACTCAATAATAAAAGAACCCTTGTCATAAGTGGTTTGATTCTTTTCAAAACTTTTGTTCTTTTTCACATTTAATATGAATTCTATTATATTTAATATAAAATAAAGGAAATGACATGAGGTTTATTACCTTTAAACCATTGTAATACGCTTGAACAGCAGGAAGTGATGGAGTTATATTACGACCTTGCATCAGATCCCATACCATATTAGCAATCGTATACCCTCCACTCTGCAAACATTACAAAATTAAATTAATCCAAAAAAAAAATCTTTTTAATTCTCAAAAGGAAAAAAAAAAAATCCTCTGCTTACCTTTTCACCAGCTGCTGCAAGAAGAAGAGCATTTCCCGTTGATGGGACCAAATTAATGCCCCTAGAAGTCATTTCCGTCTAAATCAATAAAAACACAAAAAAAATTAGTGATTTATTAGAAAAGAAATTAACCAAAATTCAAGTATATGTATCATGTAGGGGCAAAATCGTCAGTAATTTACCAGCTTCTCCAAAGCAACTTGCATACCCTTGGGTGTGTAACCAGTCATGGCTCCCTCTATAAGCGTCTGCATGAATAAAGAAGAGTTAAAGACCATATCTTTTTTTATTTTTTATAAATATTTTTCCAGATATGAAACATATCATATATAATCCTAAACTTACAGCATAAAGCTCTGGTACAGGTGGATTGTTTGAGCTCATGTAGTCTTCAAAAGCTTTGACCCCACGATCAATATCTCCACAACTCAGATAACACCTAAATGTCAATAATCATCATACATAAATATTCTTTTTTTTTTTTTTAAATTGAGAATATCAAATTATCAATATTACTACCAACTTAGTCACCTCATGATTTGAATCAGTATGAAAACATCAGGATTTTTGTTATCTTTCTTAAGCATCTCCTGAAGAGCATCCACTGCCTACAACATTATACATGTCATATTGTGTATTTTTGAATATTTGATTATAATGAATCAGTACCTCAATATCTTTAAGATCTGCACAAGCATGGAAAGCAACATGATAAACTGTGAAAAACCTTTGGACGAAACCGCCCCTCCTGTGAATATAATTAGCAGTAGGGATATCATATAACTCTTCCTCAGAAATCCCCATCATCACATTTTCAGCACTGTCTCTAGTCTGTTCTAGTGAAGACCACCCTTTGGATTGCTCAACAAGCTCCAAGATCTTTTTCATGAAAAATAATAACATTTAAATTCATGAAACTGGAAAATAAAAATATATAAAGATAGCTCAAGAATTACTTTAGCAGATGTGTCTTTGGCTAATGGAGTCTTGTTCTTATGTGCAGCTATAAGTCCCGCATAGCAGAATTTGTTTAAACCAAGTCCAGCAGCAGTCATATCACGGATAATTGCATATCTGAAATGGTTATTTAATATTATACGATCATATGATAATATGTCTCTATTGAAGTGTTGACATATAAATAGATAACGAAATGCATACACTTGATCTACTCTGCCAGTGGCTGCACATGCATTGATTAGACAGATGAATGTTTGTCCAGTAGGTTTTACTTCAAGCCTTTTCATTTCTTCAAAGATCTTTAGTTAAAGAGACAACAAATGGTTAGGAGATGAAAAGCTATGAAGGTATGATATAGAGTTACAGATACAAAGGAGTGTACTATTACTATATACCCGTGTTGCTTCAGTGGAGTTCTTACACTTCCCACATGTTGAGATCATGAAGTTGTACAAAACAACCTGTAACAAATATGAACAATGTCATGAAACAATTAACTGTTAAAAACAAAGTAACAGGAGGCTGAGATTCGATCATTAGAGTAAAGAAGCTTACATCAGG